ATACAGACAAGGTCCTCCACGGTCACCTTAGATAGACATTGGTGAGAAAAGATTGCAGGATTGACATGGAGTACAAAATCCATAAGCTACTACTTTTATCGACATGAGAAAATCCTACAGACCTTGCGAGGTTTGCGTAGTGAGATATCTTGTGTATTACTAGTGATAACAGGGAGGAAAAAGTTCCACAGGGTACACAAAGCGGAGAATCTGCAAGATATATCCGGTGAACGCATGTAAAAGCTCCTGCGGGGTGTGCCTAGAAAAGAATCCTCCAGGATCCTGCAGGAAAGAAGCTTGAAAAGTGATTGTGTTAAAGAATCCTGCTTAGCTAATTTATCAACTGAAGGAAAATTTCGGGAGGAGGGACATGAAAATTAGTTTTGTTCTGCAGGTATTTTGTTTATTGATATAAGGTACATCATCGTTGTTTTCGTTAGATCTAGACTTGAGAACACGAGCAGTTTATATTAGAAGGGCTCATGGTATCAATAGTGTCAAAAATCTATTTTTTTCCACTAATTTGCAAGATTTCTAAACCGTAGGCATGTACCGTTTTCAACTGAAGAACTATGACTGTAATGTTTCTGGATTTTTAACAACGTCAAAAGTATAGTCTTTATCTAGTGGTCATTTGTCAAATTGTAAGCTAATCCAAAATTCTGAATATAAATTCAAGTTATCGTAAAATCCGTTTTGTCCCCATAATTTGGCAACACTCCCTTTCAGAGACTAATGAAGTACACCACCTGCAGTGGTATTTTTTAAGATATTTGTATGTTATCTTGTAGTTAATTATCTCATCTATGCAATGCTGAAAACCGCAACTCTTTAAAATGGATTGTTCAAAAGTTATTGAAAAAATAGCCACGCCTATTCTTTTTTTAACGAACAATAGTATGCAGTTAACATGGTTTTTAATAATCGATTGCTGGGTCACTACAACGTCAAAGGCCGTCTAAAGTCTTGATGATCCGAAACGGACACACTATAACACTTGGCTGATGAACTCCTAACATCTTAGTTTAGTGTTAAGTGTATGTGAATGATTACTAATGACTCAGTTCTAGTGTCCTATTTCCGCTTATATAGTGAAAACTTCATCACTTCATCAAGAATCATCCAGAATCCCTCAAGTTGAAAGAAGGAATGACTTTTTTTAGTTTATCAACGACTAGTCGAATTATCTAAAATAATCAAGATGTTTGCAAAATCACTTAATTTATTCAAATCGAAACCACCCACAAGTGTAGAATATGAGCTGAGAAATCAAATAATATCCACCCGTTGTTATATTTTCATATTAATTGTAGCATTCATTATACTTGCCTTTTATACATCTGCTATGCCAATAACACGCAAAATTATAATAACATCTCCTGTAGTTACACAATATAATCAACTGTATCAAAACTATCCTGAAACACTGACATGTGAATGCACAACAATATCGATTTCGTATAATAATTTATTCAAATACACCCGAAGTATCACCACATATGTTCAAGCGATTTCGTATCGGACAAATGGATTGATAACATCCCCATTGGTATTTATATTACAGACGATTTTCGCGCAACCAGCGTTTATTCGTTTGAAATGTTAAGATTATTTTGTCAATTAACTAATTCAACTATTTATGAGGATTTATATGTATTTTACTCATCGTCATACATAACGACAACAGTACAATCACATCAGTTATTTAATGCACAAACAGAGGCAAATATTAATTTATTTATAAAAACAACGACAAATACATTTTTACGGTCATTACAAATGATACGTAATACAACACATGGAGATCAACTTTTATCATCACCATTAACTGGCTTTGGACTAATTGGCCTTAACGATGGTTCAGGTGTTATGAGATTCGATGGGTTGGATTATGGTGATTGTTCATGCCACAATACACCACTATGTAAAAAACAATCAAGTATCTATAATGGTAATGGTTCAGAAATTCTATTTAATATAACAGGATGGTATGTAGGCTACTATGTAACTGAATCTCTTCGACCGTCTACACTAGAAAGTTTTTATAATCAAACGAGTTTCAATCAATTATTATATCATCTTAATTCAGAAATAAATATTACAATACTCAACTCCACAATCGATAGTCAATATCAACCAAATGCAGCAATTGGTGATATACTCAATCAATTAATGGTTGAGAAATGGGACTATTCATTTTCCTTTGAAAGCTATTATCAACAATGTCAACCAAAACAATGTCAGTATACATATGTTGGAAAGTTTTCTGCCATCTATATTGTGACCACATCAATGAGTATTTTTGGTGGTCTTGTTAAAGTAGGCAAAATAATTGTACCACTATTGATAAAATTATTAAGAAATCATATCATACCAAAGTTTATGAAGAAGCGAATTATGTCAATTCAAAATACATGACCACTTCGAATTCACTTTTACTGGTGGCTGTATCCCCAAAATCCATTTTCTAGAGTGTGTTTTGTACAGTTATGTCATAAATTATTTACAATACTGAGTCAATTTGAAACTATTAACTAGAAAAGAAACACTATCGATATTTGGAAAACTTGGTGACATTGAAATAACTACTTTTTTTTCCAGATGAATCAGACTAGACTTTGAACCAGAATCACCCTTATCGATTATACAAACATTTTCAGCAGAGCACTTTTGTATAGTGGTATCATTTTATATTTCAATTGCTTCTTCACGAGAAGTTTGTTTGTCATTAATAAAATATGTCTTGATTATTGTTTTTTATATTTTTCTCTAAAAACAATATAAACAGCTTGGCGAAGTGGTAGCAGTCAATAGAAAACAATGGCTTAATACGTTCTTGTATTGTTCTCGATGATTAATTTTGAGCTTATTATCAAATGAGTCAAAATTAAATAAGAGATTAGATGAGGGAAAGAAATGAGATTCTATTCTCCTTTTATTACTTGTTCATATTTCCAGCTAAACACCTGTCGTACAAACACGGCTAAACACTATAACATCAGTACAAACACGGCTAAACACTATAACATCAGTACAAACACGGCTGTTTTTATATAGATATCTGCTAAGTCAAAATAAGTTTGAGCTATTGTGGACTTATTCGACTGAATCTCCTTTAAGCTCCAATAATCAAGGTTCCTATCACCGGGTGTTATTGAATACAGTTTTGTAACATTTTCTATTACCAGTAATTGATAGTATAGTGCTGTAGAATAATTCTGCTTAAAATCTCTATAGATTTCCATTACGGATTTATAGTTCGCCCACAGACGGATATGTCGATCTGTCTCATTTTTCAGATCCATGCAGCATTGATTTACTTTCTCAAAATTGACCAAGGCCTCATCGAAATAGCCTATAAATTTCTGGATATGAGCCAAGTTTCCATATAACTCTAATACTTTTTTATCCGTATGTTTACAAAATTTGAGAGTTTCTTGCAGTTCCAGGTTTTTATACTTGAGCATTTCCTTTGTTTCATCACTGACTAATCGATTGTCACATGCTTCATTTTCCATGTCACTGTACGGTCTTTTAAGAAGATAAATTTTTGATAATTTTCCATAAATCTCAGCTCTTTCTTTATCCACCATGGGTTTGTCAAGAGATAAAATATAACTAGCTATTGCGAGATCTAAATGTTTAACTTCAGAACTAAAATCTTCCATTTGACAATTAGCGATTTCAAGATGAATATCGCCAATATCAATATTAACATTCAGTTCACTATCACTTTTATAGTTTTCCCAAATATCGATGGCTTTTTCATAATAAATAGATTCAGATTCAGCACGATGAGATGGGTCCTCTCTCCAGTGAATACCAAGACAACGATATCGATGTGCTTCTAACCAATCATTCTCCAATGGAAATAACTTACACAATTCATTGAAAATGATATTTATCTCCATCAATGGTATCTCACGCAAATCATCAATAAGCATTCTGGAACATTCATGTAAATTTCTCCTAAGATTCGTATCTTGATGATATTCTTTGATCTCTTTCAATGAAGTATCATCAAATAATTCCAGCTTTATTGTGTAGTTTTCTTCATCAACATTGTAAGAAGATTCCTTCCATCGAAAGTGCATTCCCATCATACAAAGAACTTCACTTTCTTCATGGAATTCACTCAGATGAGATATATTTGCAAATGTACGAGAGCTTTTACGCGTATCAAGTTCAATTTCAAACAGAACTGATGTGAAGCCTTGCGGTATAGAGGATGCTGGTTGATGAAAAAAAAGTGATAGATCACGGTTTAAAGATGTAGATAAGAAACTGTTAATTAAAAGGATGCTGTAATAATCTAAGTTTAGTTCTTCTACTTCTGTCAGTGACATGATTTGACTTCGATAAACATGAACTATTGGTTGATCTAACTCTGTACATTTGTACTGTCTTTCATGTTCTGTTTTCAGTTGTCTATATAGGTCTCGCACGTAGAAGCCGAAAAGGAATATTAATTCAATATTCTGCTGACGGAGTGCTTTATTCAGAAGTCGAAAGATAATTGAATTACGAGTATACCAATAAACTGCTCTCTCTGGAGTGTAGTTACATTCAAACTCTTCAAGTACTCGTAATTCTGCTTCTTTTCCAGCATAATAATTCTTCAGTTCACTAACAAGTTTTAAATGTGAATTGTCCGGATAAGGTAACTGACATAATATTTCAAGAAAGCGTGGCCATCATTTATTTGTCCAATTGTCGTCTGTTGTTCTATCTTGTCTTCCCAGACCACTAATAATGCCATCTTTCTCACGCATTAAATACTCAGTTACATCTTGTGAAAGACGCGACATTAAAAGTCCACGTTTGTTATCAAACGTTTTGACCTATTAAAAACATGAATAGAAACAGCGTTTCTTATCGTAAGCCATAGTCTGCGTGATAAAGCAGGTAAGATTCTCAATTTTTCCAGGCACAGCTAAATGTGTCTTAGTCTTCCAGTGCTGGTACTTGCTCTCACGATACTTACTTTCACATAATTAGCAGTCCATTGTAGCCGAAATTCGTCACACAGTAGGCATTTTCGGTTATGCACGTCTGTTGGTTGTCTGGAAGGTTCCGAAGTGTCATGCTCATCGGCTATGAAGGCTTTCATTAAAAGAGAATTGTTAACAAGGAATTCATTAAATTAATGAAAAACAGAATCCGTCTTTTGAGTTTGAACTAATTTTTTTATCGACCTGAGGTGTAATTATATCTGCTTTAATGAAGCTGCTATTTCACAGAGTCACCATCATCGCCAAAGACTACAAAAGTTTCTT